AGGGTGTCTGATGGGGAAAACCAGGGCCAGGGGGAGGAAATGTGGGTTAGTTATTTCACTTCAGGCCACCAGTGTCCCATACCCCCTGGCCCCAGCTGATGCCGCCCATTCCACGCAGGTGGAGCAGATCCTGTCAGAGTTCCGGCTGAAGGAGGAGGACCTGAAGAAGGTGATGTACCGGATGCAGAAGGAGATGGACCGAGGGCTGAAGCTGGAGACGCACGAGGAAGCCTCTGTCAAAATGCTGCCCACCTACGTCCGCTCCACACCCGAGGGCTCAGGTATGGTGCTGCAGGTGCTCCTGGTTGGTCCTTTGCTGTGTCCCATCCTCCCAGAGCTCACCAGGCTCAGTGTGAATCCCCCCTGAGCCGGTCACCCCTTGTCCTCCCCCGGCTCTGCAGAGGTTGGAGATTTCCTGTCACTAGACCTTGGAGGCACCAATTTCCGTGTGATGCTGGTGAAGGTGGGCGAGGGGGAGGAAGGGCAGTGGAAGGTGAAGACAAAGCACCAGATGTATTCCATCCCAGAGGATGCCATGACGGGAACGGCCGAGATGGTGAGCAGGTTACACAGGGCACCCCATCCCCTCCACGCTGTCCCTGTCACTGTGCTGGGCTCGCTGTGCCACCGGTACGTCCCTCATCCCTCCACAACAGGAGGTGGCCACACTCGGGGGAGCTGTGGTGGGGATGGTGGCAGTGAGCACCTCTTCTCTTCCAGCTCTTCGACTACATCTCCGAGTGCATCTCCGACTTCCTGGACAAGCACCAGATGAAGCACAAAAAGCTGCCACTGGGCTTCACCTTCTCCTTCCCTGTGCGGCACGAGGACATCGACAAGGTGAGGGGGTGGCTGAGCAGGACGAGGGTTTGGGGGTCGCCAAGCTGCACCCACAGCTCCATTTCAGTCTTACCCTTGCTCCAGGGCATCCTCCTGAACTGGACCAAGGGCTTCAAAGCCTCCGGCGCAGAAGGGAACAACGTGGTCGGGCTCCTGAGAGATGCCATCAAACGCCGCGGGGTGAGATGATCGCAGGGTTTGTGCCAGCAGGGAGACCCCAGCATTCCCAGCTGGAGCCCGGTGTGTTTCACCCCAGACCCTGTTGTGGGACAGCCCCTGAGGGTGCTTCTCCCCTCTGCAGGACTTCGAGATGGACGTGGTGGCGATGGTGAATGACACGGTGGCCACGATGATCTCCTGCTACTACGAAGATCACCGGTGCGAGGTTGGGATGATTGTGGGTAAGATGCCCCTTCCCACAGGGACCGCGGCAGGGAGGGGGCGACCGTTCCCATGGCCCCTGCTGTGGGCAGGAGCTTGTCCTTTGGAAGGACACAGTGAGGACGGGGGGGTGGGGTGGCAGCAGGGGACACTGCATGGCATTGCCTGGCCCCAGTGATGGGGTACAAAGGGGATGGTCACCTCAATGGGTCCATCCCCAAGGTCTCACCCCATGGGTAGGGACCCAGTGAAGGGGGATGGTCTGAGCCCTCAGCACCTCCCAGCTCCACAGCAAGCACGCGGCCATCTGGGATCTGGCACCTTCCCCTCGGCCTGGGTAAACACAGCGCTGCAGCGCTGGGCTGTTTATCAGCTCCTCGGAGGCACGGCTGCCCTCACTGCACCGCGGCACCGGCACCCACTGGGGACAAGGCCCAGAGAGGAGTGGGAGGGTTGAGCTTCCCCGAGCACAGGGGGATGGGGACGGCGCCAGCTGCCCCATGGAGCTGCTTATATGGGAGGAATGCGGGTGTTGGAGGGTGCTGGTGGGTGCTGGTGTCCCCACCATCCCTGATTCCCACTGGCAGGAACGGGCTGTAACGCCTGTTACATGGAGGAGATGCAGAACGTGGAGCTGGTGGAGGGCGACGAGGGCCGGATGTGTGTCAACACGGAGTGGGGAGCCTTCGGCGCCTCGGGGGAGCTGGACGAGTTCCTGCTGGAGTACGACCGCGTGGTGGATGAGACCTCACTTAACCCCGGTCAGCAACTGTAAGGAATAGGACAGATCCCATTCCTCTGGGTGTCCCCCATCCCCGGCGCCCGCCCTGCTCCTTCCCCAGGCCCTGGGCTCAGCTGATGCCGGAGCAACTCATCACAGGCACTCCTGAAGCGGGGTCCTTCATGCTGGCAAAGGGGGGGTGCGCCAAGGGACATTGTCCCCCACATCCCACCCTGACAGCCTGTGACCCCCTTCCCAGCTATGAGAAGATCATCGGGGGGAAGTACATGGGGGAGATCGTGCGGTTGGTGCTGCTGAAGCTGGTGGATGAGAACCTGCTCTTCAACGGGGAAGCCTCTGAGAAGCTCAAGACCCGCGGGACCTTCGAGACTCGCTTCATGTCCCAGATCGAGAGGTATGGCAAGGGGCAGCCCCCCCAAACCAGCCCCACACGGGGTCCCAGCAGCTCCCCCTCCCTTGGGTGACCCCTCCGTCCCCGCCGCAGCGACTCGGATGACCGCAAGCAGATCTACAACATCCTGACCTCCTTCGAGCTGCTGCCCTCGAGGACGGACTGCGACATTGTGCGCATGGTGTGCGAGAGCGTGTCCACGCGCGCGGCACAGATGTGCTCGGCCGGGCTGGCCGGGGTCATCAACCGCATGCGGGAGAGCCGCAGCCAGGACACCCTCAAGATCACCGTCGGTGTCGACGGCTCCGTCTACAAGCTCCATCCCAGGTGAGGATTCCAGGGAGCCTCCCTCCCGCCGCCGTCCCCTTCCTTGTCCTGCCTTTGATCCCGCGGTTTTCCCTGCTCCGGCAGCTTCAAGGACCGGTTCCACGCCACGGTGCGACAGCTGACGCCCGGCTGCGACATCACCTTCATCCAGTCGGAGGAGGGCAGCGGGCGCGGGGCCGCGCTCATCTCCGCCGTCGCCTGCAAGATGGCCTGCATGATGGGGCAGTGAGAGAGGACTCGGGCAGCAGCAGGATGAGGATGAGGATGAGGAGGATGATGATGATGATGATGATGGCGGGGGTGGGAGGCCGCTGGTCCCGCTCACAGCTCTGCGTGGAGCACACACGGACGCGGGATTTGCCACTGGTGGAGGCAGCTCCCCAATAAACGGGGTTTGCATGGACTTCTCCTCCGGGGCTGCTTCAGCTCCTCGTCTCCCCTGCCATGGGGCTGCCCCACACGTGTGGGGATGCTGAAGGTCCTCCTGTGCCTTCCCAGCCCCCTGCGTCCTCCCCCAGCTCTGGGGAGACCCCCCCAGGTGGCTTGGCTGGGAGACAAGGAGCTGGTTGAGGGCACTGGGGGGCATTTGGGATGGAGAACAGGGGCCCCCAAGGTGCAGAGACCAACTGGGGTGCACCAGAGCTGTGCGAGAGGCACTGAGTTTTGGGGATTCCCCCCACATTGAAGACGGGGGGGGGGGCACCCGAACACCCCCTTGCAGCACTGACCCCACCAAGGGCTAAATCCCACCCCCAGCCTACAAAACCCAGCAGGTCCCAGCCCACCCCACACAGAGGGGCACACAGGTGACCCCCAGCGATGGGGCACCCCTTGGGGTCCCTCTGAGCACCCCCATCCATCCCTCTGCAGTGTCCCCGGGGAGGGATCAGCTCTGCACCCCCAGAGCCCTCCTGGTGTCCCCAGGGCGCTGCCATGTCCCCAGTGCAGGGAGGGGCACCCCCTCCTGGGGGCACGGGACCCCCAAGTGCCTCCCATGCACCCCCATGGCGATGGGGCCCTCTGGGTCCCGGTACAACCCCCCCCCCCCGCGGCCGTCGCGTTCCCATGGTAACGCCGCCAGCGGTTGCCACGGCGACCCCGCTGCCTTGACGCAACTTCCGCTCCGCGGCTACGCCACTTCCGCCGGTGGCGCCGCCGTTCGCGCCTTTTCTCTTTCCCCACCCCCCACAACCCCCTCATGGCGGGTCCGTGATACCGGGACCGCGACCTCTGACCCCTGACCTCTGACCCGTACGTGACCTGGGCTCCGGGGAACGTGAGAACAGGGGTACCGGGGGGGGGGGTGGTGGTGGTGTTCTATGGGGTCCTGGTGCTTGAGAGGGCTCGGGGGGGGTCCCGGTGCCGGGGGGATGGTTGGGGGTTCCAGGGCAGAGTTTGGGGGGTCCGGGGTTGTTTGGGGGGGTCCGGGGTTGCTTGGGGGTGTCCGGGGTTGTTTGGGGGGGTCCGGGGTTGTTTGGGGGGATCCGGGGTTGTTTTGGGGGGTCCGGGGCAGTGTTTGGGGGGGTCCGGGGTTTAAGGGGGTCCGGGTTTTTTTGCGGGGTCCTGGGTTATTTTGGGGGGTCCGGGGCAATGTTGGGGGGTCCGGAGTTGTTTTGGGCGGTCCGGAGCAGTGTTTGGGGGGGTCCGGGGTTGTTTCGGGAGTCCGGGACACTGTTTGGGGGTCCTGGGTTGTTTTAGGGGGTCCGGGGTTGGTTTTTGGGGTCCGGAGCAGTGTTTGGGTGGGTCCTGGGTTGTTTTGGGGGGTCGGGAGCAGTGTTTTGGGGGGTCCGGGATTGTTTTGGGGGGTCCGGGGCAGTGTTTTGGGGGGTACGGGGTTGGTTTGGGGGGTCCTGGGGTTCTTTTAGGGGATCCTGGGGTTTTGGGGACTCCAGAGCAGTGTCTGGGGGCTTCCAGGGTTATTTTGGGGGGTCCGGGGCAGTGTTTTGGGGGGGTTCAGGGTTGTTTTGGGTGGTCCGGGGCACTGTTTGGAGGGGTCCAGGGCAGTGTTTTGGGGGGGTCCGGGGTTGTTTTGGGGGTCCGGGGTTGTTTTGCGGTGTCCGGAGCAGTGTTCTGGGGGGTCTGGGGTTGTTTTTGGGGTCTGGGGCAGTGTTTTTGGGGGTCCTGGGTTGTTTCAGGGGGTCCAAAGCAGTGTTTTGGAGGGTCCGGGGTTGTTTCAGGGGGTCCAAAACAGTGTTTGGGGGGGTCCGGGGCTGTTTTAGGGGTCCAGGGCAGTATTTTTGCGGGGCGCGCGACGTGTTTTGGGGTCCGGGAAGGTGCCTGTATCCTGAGTGTTCCCGTTCTCTTTCCCAGTCCCTGCCCCCCCCAGCACCCACCATGTTCTCGGAGCGGGCGGCCCCCACGGCGCAGGGGCTGCTGAGCCCCCCCTCGGCCGAGCCCCCCAAGTTCGCGCGGGTGCCGCTGTCGGGGTACACGGATCAGTCACAGCCCTTCCGCCTGGGCGAGCGCAGCTTCGGGCACCAGTACGCTCACATCTACGCCGTGCGCCTGGCCCGCATGCGGCCCATCCTGCAGGAGCGCGCGCGGAGCAAGTGGGGTGAGTGGGGAAACCCCGTCTGTGGGGCAGGAGGACAGAGCCCCACAGCCAGGGCACTGGGAGCTTCATAGAATCAGACTGGGTTGGGCTGGAAGGGACCTTAAAGCTCACCCAGCTCCAACCCCTGCCACGGGCAGGGACCCCTTCCACTGGAGCAGCTTGCTCCAAGCCCCTGTGTCCAACCTGGCCTTGAACACTGCCAGCGATGGGGCAGCCACAGCTTCTCTGGGCACCCTGTGCCAGCGCCTCAGCACCCTCCCAGGGAAGAGCTTCTGCCTAAGAGCTCAGCTCAGTCTCCCCTCGGGCAGGTTCAAGCCATTCCCCTTGGCCTGTCCCTCCAGGCCCTTGTCCCAAGCCCCTCTCCAGCTTTCCTGCAGCCTCTTTAGGCACTGGAGCTGCTCTCAGGTCTCCCCTTCAGGAGCCTTCTCTTCTCCAAGGCTGCTCCAGCTCAGCTCTCTCAGCCTGGCTCCAGAGCAGAGCTGCTCCAGCCCTCGCAGCAGCTCTGTGGCCTCTTCTGGCCTCCCTCCAACAGCTCCATGTCCCTCTTGTGCTGCTGCCCCAGAGCTGGATCAGGGCTGCGGGGGGCGTCTCCCTAGAGCTCAGCAGAGGGGCAGGATCCCCTCCCTGAGCTGCTGCTCACACTCTGCGGTTGCAGCCCAGCACACGGGGAGGTTCTGGTCTGAAGCACTCACTGAAGCCAGGCCATGGGGAGCTTCTCATCCAACACCCCCAAGTCCTTCTCCTCAGCCTGCTCCATCCAGTCGCCCCCAGCCTGGGCTTGTGCTGGGGACAGGACCCTGCCCTTGGCCTTGTTGAAGTCCATGGCGTTCACATGGTCCCAATTCCCCAGGTCCCTCAGGCTCACACAGCCCCTCTGGTTTCCTCACCTTACACACACGTTTGAGGGTCGAATACCCCACACGTGTTCCTGGGAATGTTTTCCCTGCTAGGCAGTGTTCCAGCATTCCTGAAACCACGGCTCCTCTGGCATGGTAAAGCCCATGATTGAATTCCACCTTCCTGGCCCAGCCGAGTTCTCGGTTTTGCCCTTCTAAGGAGCTTTTTGGGCTGGCCGCTTGTTTTCCTTCCTCTCCCCAGCCCCTGGGCTGTGTGGAGCTGAGGCTGCGGCACTTCCACAGAGCTGGATTGGGCCGCGGTGACGGGAACCAGCGGTTTCCTAAAGCTCCACGTGTGGAGTCATGGGATGAGATTTCTGGGTCTGTGTCTGCAGAGTGCAGCCCCCTCCCCCTGAGCTGGGGGGCAGAGCCAAGAATAAGAAACCAACCCCGTATTGTTTTTCCTGACGCCGAGTGTTTGCATTCCTGGGATGGATGAACTCGTGTTTCCAGCTCTGCTGAGCCCCGGCTGCCTGTGAGCCCAGCAGGGCCCTTCCCATGGACGGGAGTCACATTCAGCAGGCGCGTGATGAGCAAAGGGAGAGGTTTTGGGGGGGTAAATGTCACCCCCCCGGCACACAGCAAGGCTGGAGGAGCCGGCCCAGAGCGGGATCTGGCAGTGTTGTTCTGGGAGAGGAGAGCGGCAGCGCCTGGCAGCCAGTCCTGCTCACTGCAGGGTGGAGGTGGAGGCATGGATGGGCTTCACGGGCTGGTTTAAACAGCAGGAGATAAAAGTCCTACAGACACATACAGGATGGGGCTCAGCTTGTGGTGGGGGAGATGTGGGTTCTGCCTGCAGAGGTGATGGAGTGCTGGGGCTGTGCTGCTGAGGCACAGATTGGTTCCTGGCCTGGTTTCCTCTGGGGATCCCATTTGTGCCTTTCCTGCCACTGCCTTCTCATTGGGATCTCCCCAAATGTTGCTGGCTGTGATGGGGATCCTGGGTGGAGGATCCAGCCCTGACAGGGGGGAGTGATCTCTCCTGCCTGTTCAACCCAAGTGGGATGTTTGTGTCATCTCCTGGTGGAGAGCAGCAGCACCAGCCCTGCATGCCCAGGGGCAAGAGCACCAGCTGTGTGCCCAGCACACCAGTCCCCATTCCATGCTCCCTCCTTTCCTGGGAATTGCTGGGCATGGCCCAGCTTCCCCTCCACCAGTGCTGCCTCTTGGTTGTGCTCTGCTGGCCCCATCTGGCCCACACGTGTGAGCTGAGCTCTGTGCCTTGAGGATGAGTGGGAGCCTTCCCCCCGTTCCCTCACTGCCTCACGTCGCGTGCCTGAGCCCCATTTCTCTCTGCAGGGGATGACATTGCACTGAGGAAGCTCTGTGAGCTGCAGGCAGGAGAGAAGTGCTGCGTGGTGGGGACGCTCTTCAAGGCCATGCAGCTGCAGCCCTCCATCCTGCAGGAGATCAGCGAGGAGGTAAGGAGGGAACATTCCTCCTTCTCCTCCGGGGAATGTGCCAACACACACCAGGACCTCAGCCGCCTTCCCATCGCTTCCCTCATGCTTGCTGTGGCCCAGCAACTGGGAGCTGCCAGGGCTTCAACCTGGGGAGCTGATGGATAATAATCTCTGTGCCCACCCCATCACTCTTAGTGCCACCCCTTGCTGCCAGCTTGGCATTGCTTTTCCTGCCCTTGGAGTATTTGGATCCAGTGGGATTAGCAGAGCAACCCCCTTTTCCCTATTCTGGAGGGTGAGGATGTGGGGGGTGTCCAGGGAAGCTTTTCCATCCTTGGGGCCGGCTCACGGGGAGCACGTTGGGAAGTTTGAAGCACGAGGGTTGGGATACGCAGGGTGGTGACTGCAGACACATTTCCAGACGTGAGCCATGCTCCATGTCCCAGTTCCTCTTTCCCAGGCTTTGCTGGGCACTGTGGGAATCGTTAGGTGAAAGCAGCCCCTCTGAGTGCCGGAGCAGCACCAGGGCTGGTTGCCATGAGCAGAGTTTGGCTGGGATGTGGAAGGGCTCTTTGCCATCGCTGAGGCTGTCACAGCCTCCCCTGTGTGTGTCTCCCCCAGTACAACCTGGTGCCACAGCCACCCCTGCCCAAGTACATCGACCCCTCCGACGAGCTGATCCTGGAGGATGAGCTGCAGCGGATCAAGCTGGAAGGAGCTGTTGACGTGCAGAAGCTGGTGACAGGTAGGGGACAACGGACCCTCACTGGCAGCCACCTCGGGGCCCGGGCTAGGGGTGACCATCCACTCTGTGCCATAGGGACCATCTTTGCTGTGTACGGCTACGAGCAGGACAACGGGAAGTTCCTGGTGGAGGATCACTGCTTCGCCAGCCTGCCACCAGCGCTGCCCCGTAACGGGCCCAGCTCCGACCGGTGAGTGCAGGGACAGGAGGGGCTGGCACTGTGTCCCCGCTGTCCCCTGGGCCCGATGGAGTAGGAGCCTTGTGCCAAGAGACCACGTATGGGGGCTCATGATCCTGCTCCAGCTCTCTGAAGCACCCCATTGCGGGCAGGGTTGGTGCAGGCAGGGATGGTGCAGGCAGGGCTGGGTGCAGGCAGGGCTGGGTGTACTCAGGCATCACAGGTGCTGCCCGTACTCATGCAGGTTCGTGCTGCTGGCATCGGGGCTGGGGCTGGGCAGTGGCAGTGGTGAGTCCCTGCTGAGCACCCAACTGCTGCTGGATGTGGTCACGGGGCAGTTGGGTGCTGAGGGCCAGCAGAGCTGCGCTGCACACATCTCCCGTGTCATCCTGGCTGGGAACATGCTGAGCCAGAACACCCAGAGCCGGGACACCCTCAACAAGGTACAACGGGGACAGGTGCTGGGCAGGGAGGGACCAGCGAGGGGACAGGGTCCTTTCCTCACTGTCTCTCCCCCGACCCAGGCCAGGTACTTGACCAAGAAGACGCAGGCAGCAAGTGTGGAATCCATGAAGATGCTGGATGAGATCCTGCTGCAGCTTTGTGTGAGCATGTGGAGCAGGATGGGGCTGGCCAGGGAATCAGGACCTGCTGGGGGAGGGTGCCTGGCTCCCAAAACAGGGAATGGTGCTCTGCCAGCAGCCCAGGGGCTCAGGGGGGCCCCTTCCCCAGCCACACATTCCCTTTGAGCAGTCCATGTGGTGCCGAATGGGAAAGCAGTGCCCGGCCCGGATCCCGGCATCTGGTCTGTGTGGTGAAGCCAAGAGAGGCTTCCTGTGGGATGCAGCAGGAGCCAAATGGGGGAGCAAGGCAGAGCCGGCAGCAGCTCCAGCTGCTCCCAGCCCCTTCAGAGTTTGGTTTATCCCTGTTGATCCCCACAGAGCTCAGTGCCTGTGGACGTGATGCCCGGTGAGTTTGACCCCACCAACTACATGCTGCCGCAGCAGCCGCTGCACCACTGCATGCTGCCCCTCGCCAGCGCCTACGCCACGCTGCGCCTGGTCACCAACCCCTACCAGGCCGATGTGGACGGCGTCAGGTAAAACCTCCTGTGCCAGCCTGCGAGCAGCTCTGGGATCGTGGGCCGAGTCGTGGCAGGTACAGCCGGGTGAACATCCCCTTTCTACCTCCAAAATGCAGGTTTTTGGGGACATCGGGTCAAAACGTCAGTGACATCTTCAAGTACAGCAGCATGGACGACTACCTGGAAATCCTGGAATGGACGCTGCTGGCAGGACACATCAGCCCCACAGCGCCGGACACGCTGGGTGAGGCAAGGGCTGCTGGCAGCTGAGCCGGGCAGGTGTTGCTGTGGGGGTGCAAGTTAACCCCCTGCTTTCCATCCCTCCCAGGCTGCTACCCCTTCTACAACTTGGACCCGTTCATCATCACCGAGTGCCCACACGTCTACTTCTGTGGCAACGCTCCCCGCTTCCAGTCCAAGCTGCTCACAGGTGAGTCCAGTGCCTGCAGCACCCTCAACCCTGTGCCAGGGTGTGAGTGGGGGCTCATCCGCCTGTGTCTGCAGGGGAGAAAGGGCAGCAGGTCCTGCTGGTGACAGTGCCCACCTTCAGCACCACGCAGACCGCCTGCCTCATCAACCTGCGGGATCTCAGCTGCCAGCCCATCTCCTTCTCTGGCTTTGGGGCTGAGGACGATGATGGGGACATGGACGTCAAGCACTGACAGAGCAGGCATGGACTCAATAAACCCCTCAGAGCATACCAGCGCCTACCACCTTTGTGTCATTCCTGGCTGTCCTCCTGGGAGCGCTGGCACGGAGCTGCTGGTTGCAAAGGAGAGATTCTCTTACCAATATAACTTGATTTATTTGTGTAACAAAAAACTGTGTGGAGGGGAGTGGGGCTGCGCCTGCCTCCGTCGGGCCCTGCCCTGGAGAGCAGGACCACCCCTGCCAACGCCACCAGGATGGGATGGGGTGAGGGCTGTGTACTGCTTCACCCCATCCCATGTCTCAGGGATGGGGCAGCGCATCTCTTGGTGCTGGCCCTGGAGAGCGGCACGGGGGACACCCCGCAGCCACCCAGCCTTGGGGCGAGCAGCAGCACAGCCCTAGGAAGCAGCATGGGTGAGGAGCTGGAGCCCACCCGGAGCGGGCTGCTGGGCTCGAGGAGATTTTGGAAGCGATGCCGGAGCCTGTGGCGAGTGTCCGGCCCTGGCTGAGGCAGGAACGAGGGGACAAGCACCCCTAGTCACCAAAGTTCACGGTGTAGGTCTCGGCCGTGGTGAAGGGCTGCACCGTCCCTGTGCCCAGCTCCCAGGTCTCCGTCTCGGTCACCACCTCCGTGACCACCTCTGTTTCGGTCTCCATCTCCCAGGTGCTGGCTGTGGGTGGCTCTTGGCTCCAGGGCACATAGGCTGTGCTGCTGAAGGAGATGTGCATGGCCGTGGTGGGCGCAGGGGCCGTGGGGCTGCTGGCAGCAGTGGTGGCATTGAGCCTCCGGAGCCTCATCTGCTGCCGTAGACGCATGCGGTGCCGGAGCCGCATCTGCAGGCGCAGGCGCTCGCGGGGCGTCATGGGGCGGCCGGGCACGATGCGGCGGATGGGCCGGTTCCCGTTCATGGCCATGATCTCCCGGATGCGCTTCCAGTTGGAGCGCGACAGCACGAAGTTGCATTGGGTGGCCCCGATGTCGTAGAGGACGCTGCAGGTCTTGACGCTGGGGTTGTAGCCCTCGGCTCGGGCCGAGACGCGGTACTCACCGGGGTTCAGGATGCGCCAGTAATCCCCACCGCTGGCTGCAGGCAGCGAGGGGACGCGGCGGCGTGTGAAGCTGGTTGCACAATGCTAGCAGCACCCTGCCCCACACCCTGCCCCGCGCCCTACCTGTCCTGATGTTGTGGTTGATGCCCCCCACGACGATGGTGGCGTTGGCGATGGGTTCTCCCTGCTGGTCCGTTACCAAGCCCTTGATGCCCCGATGGACCTGGGGCAGGAAGGGGGATGAGAGGAGCTGTGTGGGGCAGGCAGGGCCCTGCCCGCTCCCTGCCTGGCGCACCCAGCACTTGCCTGCTCCATGAAGGTGAGCAGAGACTCCTTGTTGTTCTCCCACTCCTGCTGCAGCTCGCTCTCATGGGGGAACTTGTCACAGCCCAGGTAGATGGAGAGCTCCAGGCAGTTGGTGTGCAGGTAACTGAAGTCATTCATGCCTGCAAGACAAACGGCCAAGCACCCACCCAGCTGCTCGCTCGCACCTCCACGTGGTGGCCAAGCTGGTCCACGCACCGTGGCACCCACTTACTGCCTGCCCGGGGGTGCCACTTGGCGCCCTGCACGATGCCCATGGCATTGGTCATGTCCTGCGTGTGGCAGCCGCCGCGGAAGGTCTCGCTCATGGTGAGATGAGCCGAGGCGTAGGAGATGGCGAGCCAGCGGAAGATGGCGTGGTCGGGGGTCTCCTGCAGCTCCGGGTTCTCGTCCTCGTACTCGTCCGGCGGGCGCGGGGCGGCCGCTGGGGTCTCGCTGACAGGACGGGCTGCGTCGAAGGGATAAGACACCAGCTTCTCCCCGCCCTGCAGGTTAGCTCCCAGCACAAAGGGGTTCTTGTCCATCCACGCCATGATAGCCCGCGTCTCCACCGCTACCTGCCGAAGGGGGCAGGTGGTGTGAGACATCACCTCCACATGATTGCCCCATCACCTGCCCTTCACTGCCCCATCACCTGCCCTTCACTGCCCCATCACCTCCCCTTCACTGCTCCATCACCTGCCCTTCGCTGCCCCATCATCTCCCCTTCACTGCCCCATCACCTGCCCTTCGCTGCCCCATCACCTGCCCTTCACTGCCCCATCACCTCCCCTTCACTGCCCCATCACCTGCCCTTCACTGCCCCATCACCTGCCCTTCACTGCTCCGTCACCTCCCCTTCACTGCCCCATCACCTCCCCATGATCGCCCCATCACCTTCCCTTCACTGCCCCATCACCTCCCCTTCACTGCCCCATCACCTCCCCTTCACTGTCCCTTCACCTCCCCTTCACTGTCACATCACCTTCCCGTCACTGCTCCATCACCTGCCCTTCACTGCCCCATCACCTCCCCTTCTCTGCCCCATCACCTCCCCTTCACTGCCCCATCACCTCCCCTTCACTGTCACATCACCTTCCCGTCACTGCTCCATCACCTCCCCTTCACCTCCCCATCACCTTCCCATTGCCTCCCCATCACCTCCCCTTCACTGCCCCGTCACATCCCCACCACCATGCCCTATTCTGCAGCTCACCGTGGCATCCTCAGCCAAGTAGTGCTCAGGGATGGGGATGTGGTGGTTGGGGAACTTGTGAGGTACCAGCTTCCTGTCCTCAGCTGCCCACAGAGCTGAAGCCAAGTCAGGGAAGTTCTCAAAGAGGTCGTAGCCCTCCTCTGTCCAGTGGCCCAGAGCCCAGTTGCCCAGTTCAGAGCCCTGCAGTAGCCCGGGGCAGCAGTGAGCTGGAGGGTGCATCCCTCCACCTGCATCCCTCCACCTGCATCCAACCATCTGCATCCACCACTTGCATCCACCACCTGTATCCACCACTTGCATCCAACCACCTGCATCCACCACCTGCATCTACCACCTGCACCCACCACCTGCACCCACCACCTGCATCCACACCTGAATCCACCACCTGCATCCCGCCACCTGCATCCACACCTGAATCCACCACCTGCATCCACCACCTGAATCCACCACCTGCATCCACCACCTGCATCCACACCTGCATCCACACCTGCATCCACCACCTGCATCCACCACCTGAATCCACCACCTGAATCCACCACCTGCATCCACCACCTGCATCCAACCACCTGCATCCACCACCTGCATCCACACCTGCATCCACCACCTGCATCCACACCTGCATCCACCACCTGCATCCACCACCTGCATCCAACCACCTGCATCCATCGCCTGCATCCCACCACCTCCATCCATCGCCCGCATCCCACCACCTGCATCTATCACCTGCATCCACCACCCACATCCCATCATCTCCATCTGTCCTGGCTTCAGCACTTAAACCACGACGCCATCCACCACCCGCATCCACTGCCCCATCCCTGACGTGCCCTCACCGCCTCGCGGGCCAGCTCGTAGCCATCAGGGTTGAGGGAGGGCACGAGGTGGATGCGGGTTTCGGTGACCAGGCTCCGCACCCGGGGGTTGCCATCCTGGAATTCCTTGCACAGGAACTGCATGAGCAGGAGCAGCAGCTCCCGGCCCAGCACCTCATTCCCATGGAGCCCGGCTGTGTACCTGAACTCGGGCTCACCTGTGGGCAGGGCACAGGCTCAGGGTGATGCCTGCACCCCTGCCTGCTCCGGGTCCCTTCCAGAACCTTCCTGCCTCACCGGTCTCGTGCTCGCCCGGGTTGTCCGAGATCTCCATGGCGTAGATCTTCAGCCCACGCGAGCTCTTGCCGATGTTGTAGATGCGGGTGATGCTGGGACACTCCTCATTGACCACCTTCATCAGCTGCGGGCACAAGGCGGGGGGGGGGAGATGGGGTAGTGCTGGGGGGCTGAGCCCACCCTCTGTGGAGGATCCTGCCCCATGGAGGATCCCACCCCAGGGAGGTGCTCACCTGCCTCATGTCCTTGTAGGAGTGGTGGCGGAAGTCCAGGTTGTCGGTGGAGGTCACCTCGTTCTGTTGGCTGTAGTAGCTGCTGACGGCTGTGGAGGGGACAGGGAGGCGGTGATGGACACTGAAGAGATGCCACCCCCCTCCGCGTGCCCCCCAACCCTCCTTGGGGCGGCTCTTACTGGAGAGGGGGCAGCCCAGGACCTCGAGGCGCAGGCAGAGGCTCCCGTTCCATGTCTGGGGGTAGATGCGGATGTAACGGGCCACCATGGGCTCGGGGAACGTGGTCAGCACCGGCGTGTCCTTGTCCACGTTACCATAGAACTTCTGCCATGAGGAAGGGGGGGAGACGTAGCCAAACTGGGGGCAAAGGGTCCCCCTTGTCCCCCCCCCAACCACTTTTGGGGTGCCTACCATCTCCTCGTAGCCATTGGTGTACATCACCCAGTTCTGGCTGTCGTTGCTGAAGCCCACATAGAAACTGGTGACAAAGTCCTCGCTGCGGGAGGAAGGGGACAGGTTGGGAGGGGGGTTCCCATCCGCTCCCCCCACCCCATGTCCCCAAACCCAGCCCCTGCTCCCGTACTGGATCTGGGAGTCGCGCCCCTGGGTGATGACGCCGGTGAACTTGGTGGTGCGGCGCGTGTCCACCTCGAGCCAGTGCGCCCGGCTGTCGTCCTCGGCGCACCAAGCCCCGTCGAAGAAATCGTCCTCGTTGGGGCCCGCCTGCGGTGGGGACAGCGAGAGGGACCTTGAACATCACTTGGTTGTGATGAGCGGGGAACCCGGAACCCCCCCGGGTGCACCGTCCCCAGCGTCAGGACATGGAGCTGGTGGAGCAGGTCCAGAGGAGGCCACGAGGATGCTCAGGGGCTGGAGCAGCTCCCGAATGGAGCCAGGCTGAGAACGTTGGGGCTGGAGAAGAGAAGCTGTGAGGAGACCTCAGAGCAGCTTCCAGTGTGTGAAGGGGGCTGCAAGGATGCAGGAGAGGGGCTCTTCATCAGGGACTGTAGGGATGGGACAAGGGGTGATGGGTTCAGACTGAAACAGGGGGAGTTCAGGTTGGAGATAAGGAAGAAGTGATTTATGTGAGGGTGCTGAGGCGCTGGCACAGGGTGCCCAGAGAAGCTGTGGCTGCCCCATCCCTGGCAGTG